TGACAAGTCATTGTACAAACATTTCAGATGTTGGGGTGTTTTGCTGCAGCGGATTACTTTCAAGTTATTGTCAAAATCATCGATAGACTCACGGGATTGCATAGTAAATGTACGTGAGTTTTTGTTTAGGGTATAAATTCGTATTTTTAGTCAAGCTATCAAAGCATCACCACAGAAGATGAGAGTATTAAGGAAGGGATGTTAATAATGGGTTTTTACCCATAGGTACCCGAAATCCGGTTAAAATTTGAAACCCGAAAATCGTATGTTTAGATTTTAGTTTTCGCGAGTTTTTATTGGGCGGGTCTTGTGTTGGTAATTACCCTATCGGGTTTACACTGTCGGGTTTCGGTATCCTATGGATTTTTTTTAAAGTAAACCAAAACGACGTAGTTTTATGTTATATTTTACCCTAAAATTTTATCTCTCCCGTGACCACAACCACAAATCGTAGAACTATCTATCAGACATGCTTTCTTGCGACGATTCATTCTAGATCGAGTTTCAAAGATCATAGCTTCAAGTTCATCCGTATCATCTATCTCCAGATTTGGTTATTACCCTTATCTGCTTCGGTTGATTTTCATTTCTTTGTGTGTGTTTTTTTTTTGTAGTCTAGGGTTTCGTTTTATTGCCCAGAAATCGAATACTTTGTTGGGAATTCGTTGTTAAAGTTGCTTCGTGTAAAGGTTAAAACTTTAGGGTTTTTTTTTCTGAAGGATTTAACTTGATAGGTTAGTGACTATGAGATTATAACGTTTATACAAGCTGCGTTAGTATAAGATTTAGGTAAAATTGATGTTGAATAGATTTAATTATTTAAAGGTAAAGTTCGGTTGAAAATAATTGTTTGTGTTGTCATAGCGCCTTGTGTCATTGACGTTATGGTCATCATTAGTTGTTAATTCTATAATCATATTATTATTTATGTTATCCTCTCTAAGTTTTTTGTTTGGATTTTTAATCTTTTGTATCCTTTTTATTCAATAGTAATTTAAATTTTGTAGCTGTTTATTGGTTTTATACGATGGCTTCAGAAACCCTTGACACAATAGCAGTTCTTAATGCTGCTAATGAGAAAATGGATATGGATGATGAGGATGAAACTCAAGGACCAGCACAAAGCGAAACTCATTCTATGCAAGCAACTGAAACAGTAAATCATTCAAAACGAGCAATGTCTCTTGTTTGGAATGATTTTGTCCCATTAGGGGTAGAGGCAGATGGAAAGAGAAGAAGTCGTTGCATTCACTGTAATAAGAAGTTAGTATCAGAATCTGCATCAGGCACATCTTCTCTGAAAAGGCATTTGGGTATCTGTCCAAAAATCCTCACGTGTCAGATAAGGAACAAGAGTATGATCCCAAAGTAGATCGTGATATGATCATTATATATCATGATCAGCCTTTCAGATATGTTGAGTATGAGAAGGTCAGGGCTAGGAACAAGTACTTGAATCCAAAATGTAGGCAAACGGCTGCAGCTGACGTTTATAAAAATTTGAAGGTGAAAGAGAGAAGCTGAAGAGAGTGTTAGCAGAATTCAAGGGTCGTGTTTCTTTTACATCAGATATGTGAACAGATTCTACAACTATGATGAGATATATCTATTTAACGGCACATTATGTTGATGATAGCTTCAGGTTAAACAACAAGATATTAGCCTTCAGTAAGTTAAAACATCCACATACCGGTGAAGATGTAGCTAACAAACTTCTTAGTTGTTTGAAGGAATGGGGATTAGAGAAAAATGTACTTTCTATGACCTTGGATAATGCTAATTATAATGATAGCATGCAGAAGATCCTGAAGCATCAAATTCAGATGGTTAGTGGAAACGGGATGCTGTGTGAGGGGAAGTTCTTTCATGTTAGATGTTGTGCACACATTTTAAATCTCATAGTGAAAGGAGGGTTAGAGCTAGCTGCTAGTATTCTTGAAAATATTGGAGAGAGTGTTAAATTTGTCAAAGCATCTGGATCAAGGATCGAAGCATTTGCTGCATGTGTTCAAAGTGCAAGGATTAATAGTGGAGCAGGATTGTCTCTAGATGTACCAACAAGGTGGAATTTGACTTATGATATGCTTGCTAGAGCTCTGAAGTTTCGTGCTGCATTTGCTAGTTTGAAAGAGTGTGACATGAGTTATAAATCACTGCCTTCAGAGGATGAGTGGGAGCGAGGGGAAAAAATGCGAGTTTTCAAAATCTTTCAGCAAGATTACTGAATTCTTCTCAGGCGTTAATTATCCCACGACTAATGCATATTTTCTACAAGTATGGAAAATTAAATGCTTACTGATGAAGTATTCTGCTTGTGATGGTCTAGTGATGAAAGAGATGGCTAAGAGAATGAGAGTTAAGTTTTCTAAGTACAGTCTCATTCTAGCTATAGGAGCTGTTTTACATCCAAGATTGAAACTTCAAATACTTAGAACAGCTTATTACAAAGTGGATCCAAGAAATGCTAAGAAGAAAGTTGAAGTTGTCAAGAAGAATTTGAAAAGCTTTATGAAGAGTATGGAACCAAGTTTCAGAGTTCTTCAACCTCTTCAGCAACACCAACTCCACATGAGCTTCTTAATGAGTCACCATTAGAAGATGATCTGAATTATGTAAGTCTTTTGTTGTGTATAAATTCATATATCATAATTTACTTATCTATCTAATGTGATGCTTAATACAATAACATAGGATCTGTTTAAACTTGAGTGGAGCATCGAGCCTGGTTTAGACAATAAGAAGACGAATCTGGAGATGTATTTAGAAGATCCTAGGTTAGATTCTAGGTCTTTCACTGACACATAAGTTCTAGGTTATTAGAAAGATCAAGGACAACGCTATAGCGATTTAGTTTCTCTTGCATGTGATGTGCTCAGCATTCCAATCACAACTGTGGCATCAGAATCAGCATTAAGCATTGGAGGAAGAGTGATAAGTCCTTTTAGAAACCGTCTTCTTTCAAAAAACGTTCAAGCTCTGATGTGTACTCGAAACTGGTTAAGAGGTTTTGCTGAATTTGAAGGTAAATTGTTAGTTTTGAAATTGTGTTTTCTTGTTTCATATATAACTTTTTTATGTAACTACAGATTATATTTTATAATTTTAGGGGATGAAGATTATTTTGATGAAGACAAGGATCCTACATCCACATCAAGTAGTTCTGGAATGAGTTAAACAAAGTCTTGGGTGATTTTGAATCTGCTTCTTTACGTTGATACTCTGTGTTTCTGAATCCTGAGTCTATTTCTTAAAGTTGGTTTGTTTCTGCTTAAGTTCTGAACTTTGTTTCTGCTTTTGAATTTGTTTAACATATCATGAGGCTCTTTGCTTTTGAACTTGTTTAATTATTTTCTCTGTTTTGGATTATTTCTCTTGGATTTATGTGATATAATCAAGCTTCCATATTAGTCACACTTCTCTTCTTTAACGTACATGTGATGATATATTTTTAATCATTATCTTTCTAAAGCTCAAAACTTAGTATAAAACTATAAAGCTCAAAACATGATTAAAAAAAAATATCCAATACATATAAATTTATTTAAAATTATAATTAAAGCTTTACCTAAAACCCACAAAACTTTTTAAAAAATAGAGATAGAGTTTTTCACGGATATCCGTAGATAATCCTAAAAGTTTTGGGTTTTTCGCGGGACCCTAATAATACAGGATTTTTTTCGGATACTTACGTTTAAGGTATTTTTTGGGCGGGTTTTTTCCGGGTTCGGGCCAGGTAATTTTACCCATCACAACATCCCTAGATGACACCATTGACTTGCTCAATAAGATGGAAGTTTGTACTTAGAGAGTATCAACTTACTTGTAACCACACTAAATGAAATATCCTGGTACGTAACAAAAACTATTAACTACTAATGACCGAAATCTCAGGAAAACTACTCAATGATCGATAGAAGACAATATAGAACGACTAGAATATCAAAACACTATTAACAATATGGTGGTTAAACAAACGTTTAGGTTAACACCGCTTGTGCTATTTTTAGTTCCAAGAGAGGCTTCAAAATATATAAAGATCGTAGCTTATGACATTCCAAACAAAACATGGATCCATGTCAACGTTTGGAGTGTTCATATGAATCCAAGAGTTTGAAAAGATTATAAGCTTTCACCCTCAGAGGTTCATGGATAAGGTCTAGATTTTGAGCTGTTGCCATAGGGTAGCGGAAGGAGATCTGCCCTGGAATGGGTATGTGTATGGCTTTGGTAGACGTGATTCTTATCAGTCTTATGGCTACAGTTCAAAATTTAGACCTTATCCATGAACCTCTAAGGGTGAAATTTTTTTCTTTATTGTAACACAACTTATACTATAAAAAATTCATTGAACATCGATGTTTACAACTGAAGTAGAAGATCCCGGAGCCAGGCTTGACGGTAGAACAAAACTAGAAAACATAACGAAATAAGTAAAGATAAAACCATATCGAAGCGAGTCATGCTCAGCGAAATGAAGAAACCTAAAAGGAAGCTCCACTTTTGTTTCTATGGTGATTGTTCTAAAGAACAAGTGATAGTCAAAAACAACGTTGATACACTTAAGAAGCCGTTGAAATGTTGATTGGCAAGAATTTTAGGTAAGAAACTCCAGAACCGTAAATAACATTGAGAGTACGAAGCCTTTGTTGGGTTTAAAATTGATTGTGAGGGTGAAAGCTTATAAATGTAAAGATCGTAAGTTATTACATTCCAAAGAAACATGGATCCATGTCAACATTTAGTTCATATGAATCCAAGTGTTTGGAACAATCCATAGATGTTTTACCGTTTCAATTGGATGCTTGGGGTAGGAATGGAGGCAAAAGAAGTTGATCTTGAAGAATCACATGGACTTTCTTTTTTTTTTATCAAAAAGAAGAATCACATGGACTTTCTTTTTTATTTATCAAAAAGAAGAATCACATGGACTTATATGTTCTAAGCAAGTCCTTACAAAATGGACTTACCTTCACTTCTTACTTCAGAAAATAAGTAAATGTAAAGATCTTATACCATTACCATCAATAAAATGTTTGTTCACATAAACACAGCTTCTTGAAACCATTACAAACCGAATCAAATTACGAAACAAGAAAGAGGAGTAAGATTTTACTAGGACTAACTAGAGCTAAGCACTCACAGGTGGTGATGGAGGAAGACATTGTCTTCTCCTTTCTCCTCCTCCTCCTCCTCTTCTGCTTCGGTTTAAAGAACCCGACGAAGAAAGCGAAGGACCAGGTGGATATCTACTTGACCTGCTCCTAAGTTTCTTCTCTTCTGCTTCCGGAACCCTCTCCTCTTTTGATCTAACCTGCCTCACCTTTGTCTCATTCAGCTCCGCAGGCAAAACACAGTTGCAAAACAAACCTAAAACCAAAACACAACACACAAAAAAAAGTTATAACCTTTTACTAAAACAAAGTAAAAAAAAAAAAACAATGTTCTGTTTTTTTTTGTAGCTTCTTACCAAAGCGAGCAAGACGGTTAACCCAACTAGGGATAGATCTCCTGGTGAGCTGAACACAAACATCGTTACAGAAATGATTACAGTTCTTTGTAATGAGATGGTAACTGTTTCCACTATACTCTTCAGCAAGCTTCTCCATAAAGACACGAACTTTCTCAGGATCTAAATCTGTTCTTCCAATTAAAATAGACTTCCTAAATGTGAAACCTGGACATTGCTTCGGTTCCACCTCGAAGATCCCTGTTGTTGAATGCTCATGAGCTCCGAAACCATACTCAACCCCATGAACTACATTTTTTAACATACATATCTTAAATAAGTTAATCCACAAAATCACTTTAAAAGTCCCTTAAAAAGTCATATAAACCCAGAAGAGCTGTTCCATAAATAGGTCAAAAAGTTTCCAAATTTGGAATTTAATGAAATGGGTCAACTTCAATTACTACAAACAAACAAACATCAAACTTAAAAAAGTTTCTTACTTCAACGAAACAGGTTAACTTTCAATCCCAAAGATTCATAAAGTTCTCAACTTTAACTAAAACCCATCAATAGTTTCCAGAGAGAAAAGATGATACCTTCAACACCAGAGTGATAGACGCCAAGTCCTAACCAGTAAGCGTAGCCATTGATGGGTGTGAGATCGTACACATTAAGATAAACCGGAACCGAACCGGCTTTCTTCTTCCGGCCGGTCACAACCACCATTCTACACAACATCTTTAAAGCAAAGGACAACCTTTTAAGATTGGTAAGGGCTTAAAGAAGGAAAGAAAGAAAGAATCTTGTTTTTTGTGATTATTCTGAGAGAGAAGCTTCTGCTCATGTTTCCTTCTTTCTTAAAAGCTACATTCTTTTTCTGCTTTCTGTGTCACCCTTTTGTTTATGGCACTTATTTTTGCAGCCCCTATTAATTTGCATTTTTACGTTTTGACCCCGATATTGTCAAATCGGTGTTTTCACGTCAGCGACGCCAACGAGGACTACTTGAGAGCTGAGAAGAGTGCTAAAAGTTCACGTAAATGTTGATTAGTCGTATGAATAGTAAAACTCGGTAGCCTATACGTTTCGATGGATGTTTGGCGGCCAAAATCACATGAACTAATCTAATCTTAATTACCATCGAACACAAAGTTGATCAAGAAAGTTGCATAGACGGTCTAACGAATGATTAATAAGATATTTATATTTTAAACTTATAAATGGCTTGATAATCAAAAATATACTCATAAATATCTAACATTATCGTATATAGTTTTAGATAGATAAAATAAAGATTTTTAACGTTAAAACCCCTAAACTAAATTTGTTTTAGGTAAAAAATTCCAAACTAAGTATTAATGCAAAAAATTTCTAAACTAACCTTATTCAATAGATTAAATTCTATGTCTACAGTGCAGACATTAGTACCGGTAAATCTTTAGTTTAAGGGTTTTTACACTAATTAAAAATAATTAAGGTTTTAATCAATAAAACTTTAAAAATCCAAAATATAAAAAATAAAAATATAATATCTTTATCTAAAAATTAGTAATATAAATTTGCAATTTCAGCATTTTAAAAATTTATGCAAATATATGAATATGATTTTTTTTTTAAAATCAATACTTTTTTATATGTAGAAATTGAAAATATAAAAAAGCAAATATATTATAAAACTATGTATTTATCATTAATGATATAAAAAATCCAAAAACATGTAAAATTTAGAATAGAACAACATTATCTAAAAGTTAGTAACTTCAATTTTTAAAATTAGCATTTAAAAATTTTATGCAGATTGATGAGTTTGGTTTGTTTTAAAATCAACATTATATATTTATAAATTGACTCGTAGTAATGGATCTTTGATCGGCATTAAAGTAAAACTAATTATCTAAAAGTAACTAACATTTGAAAATTTAAGTTACTAATTCTTAGATAATGTTATTCTATTTTAAATTTTTATATATTTTTATTTTTGGATTATAATATCTTTAAGGGTAAATACATAATTTTTATTATATATTCGATTTTTTATATTTTCATTTTCTACATATAAAGTGTTGCTTCTAAAAACAAATCATACTCATATATTTGCATAAAATTTTAAAATACCAAAGTTGCAAATTTAAGTTACTATTTTTAGATAAAAGCATTATGTTTGTATTTTTTTCATTTTTTGGTTTTTTTAAATTTTTATTGGTAAAACACTTCAATTATGTTTAGTTAGTATAAAAACTCTTAAACTAAAGGTTTACCGGTACTAGTGGTTATTTTAATTTGTACTATAAACAAAAAATTTAATCAATTAAATAAAATTAGTTTGAGAATTTTTCCATTAAATATTTAGTTTGGGATTTTTCCCTAAAGCAAATTTAATTCAGAGGTTTTAACGTTAAAAATCCATAAAATAACAATCAGGAAAAAATCCTGATTAATTGCTCAAGTATCAGATATACATACACTCTAATTAAAGCTTAACAAGATGATAAAAAAAGCTTAGCAAAATTCCGAATATTAATAAATTATGAGATTTTTGTATTCCAAAAATATCATTCTAGTTAGTTTTGTTGGGGTTCAAAATCACTCTAGTTACTTTTGCAGTGATTTTTGTTATCGTAGCGATTGAATAAAGCGAACTTGTATGTTTAGATAAAGTGGTTCGTGGATGATTGTGTAATAAAAGATGAAAGAGGAGGGTGGTATAAGTAAATAATAAATAAATAGGAATCGACAAAGCCACGAGCCATGTTTCAGGAGGTGTCTCTTTGTGTACGTTTCCAGCAACCGATGCTTAGCTGTTGGGGCGTGAAGTTAACAACATTATTACGCTCACCACTTGGATAATTTTAGACTGGTTATTCTAAACTTATATAAAGGTTGTGTTAATTGGATATAACATATTGTATTTCCCTACTCCAATATTATATACTTATTTAAAGGCAATAACCAGACAAATTAGCCGTCTTTTGTAGATTGGTTGATATACATAATTGAATATTCGTTGAAAATATCAGATACTAAATATATAATTATTTTGATAAAAATAACTAAATAATTAGGGTTAAGCTGTTGGAATGAACATTTGACTCGGAATATCTATTAATTTGTACTTGATCGTTCTTCTAATGATAAGGCCTTTCCCACTAAATTCTACAGAGAAGTTATATCATACTATTTATCAGTTACACTCAACAAAAGGTGTATATATTAAGCCTCAGTTCAAAAAAAAAAAAAAAAAGGTGTATATATATATTATCGTACTATTAGAAAGGTATTTTAATATTAAGTTAAAAATTGGCTTTTGTTTAATATTCGTATATATCAATTCTACAAGGTAGTTTTTAAAAGGTAAACACAACTATATCTATTTAATGACTTCGACAATTAATTAGTCATGGCCATTTGTAGAACGACTTTGAGGACCAACAACTTGTGTACATAATTATTATAGTCAACTGCTCATGACGATTACAGTACTATATTCTAGTCATGTTTATCATAATTTACAATTATGTTTGTTGCTGGTTATGATTAGTACTAATAGTCAAACACCTTTTAAAAAACTGTTTTGTATATTCAACAGATGTTAATAAGTGAAAAAATACTATAGACCAATCTTTAAAATCCCTAATTATATGAAAGCAAAAGTTAAACTAACAACGTTATGGGCAAGCCGAGCACTTCTAGTATAATTGCATCCTTAGCCTTTTACGATCAAGTCTTGTGATATTCGGTGGACCTGATGTAATGAAACTCATATCCACATTTCCAAATTTCCGGAAAAATCCATATAGAAAGATTTATATATTCATCGCCGTTTGAATTCACCATTGAGCCAAATAACATCCTAGCGAAGTTATCTTGGACATTAGTATAAAATGGTGTTCCTATAAAGCAAGGCAGAGCACCTTTTTCGCAAGTAGCATAGAGACAAGTAAATAACATGTGATTTGATTGTCTCTTCTTACAAAGATCATATCTTACAGCTCTCATATCATATGTTTGAATAATTCTGTTTCGTAATATGTTCTATACTATACTCGGGTCTTTGGAGTCTAGTGATTTAAGAATACATAGTCCCCCCTGGACATGTTGTGGGCCGTTAGCCCAACCAGTAGAAACTCATTTCAACTAAATTATCCTCTGCTTTGCCGTTTAGGGTTTTGTTGGTGCTCGCTTCTTTTGTAGCCAAATGATCTGTCAGTCAAATTTAAGATTCTACTTATTTCTGTATAATGTATATAGGCAAGTTTGAATGAGAGTGTATGAAATGTTTTGGGCCCAAACTGTAATATACAAGATGATGAAGATGACTCTAAGTACTCGTCATGGTTTGTTATACATTACATGTTATGGATGTGTTGTCTACCTGTGTTTTTTGGACTTATTTATGGAACTGTATGACTTTTGGTTCATTCTGACGTTAAACTTATGGCTTTTAGTTCATTCTGAATATTTCTGACGTTTTTTGTTTTTGTTTTTGTCTATGTGGAAACAATCATACAAACACTCATATCTTTCTTTGACTAATTTGTCTACTACTGGTGCAAAAAGATTTGAAAGAGACTTATCTGATTCAATTATCTTCGACCATTTTGGTAAATGACACGTGAAGTCGTTGGTGATGAAAGCAACATCTATGTCGCTTAGTTTCTTTTGGTTGTATTGTTATCTAACATATATGCATGGCTAATCACATACCAGTGGTACATCGGGCTTGGAAAGGTGCTAAGCACCAACAATAAGTAGATTGGTCCAAGTCTCTTCATCTTTTTTATATGGGATTTTTATTTCAACACTCCAACTCAAAATAATGATAGTTATAATCATTAATCTTGACAGAATCCATCATATTCTTTATGAGAGAATATTTTTGTTTCCTAACAATCTCGACGAAATTGAACCTTCTATGAAGCATCAGTTAATGAGATGATCAGACCACTTTTTAGACTGAAACCATGATAAGTTTCTTGGGAATCTAACATAAAACCAGTTAGTGGTAAATGGATTAGTCCAGTCCTTAGTCTATTACTTAAGTCTGTTTCATCTTTCCGAGTAAGATCTTTATCTCCAATCTTAAAACTGATTAGCGTTGAGTAGAATGGGCCAAATTTCTTATATATTACCTTAATCTCTTTCATATTTCCGACGTAAGATATTTATGTATAACATGCCCGCTTGTGTGGTTATGCGAAATAGGTATCTAATACTCATTTTGAATAACCAAATCTGCCTGGCACCGTTGGATAGGACTCATAAATTAGTTGGTTGGGACTTGGCCCGATATATAAAAATAAACATATATGCATGGTTTTCTAATAATCTCATATGGCCGTAATAATTTGTTCATCCTGAAAAAGACCACTCTGGTGCTTTGTATTTCGCCATCCTTTCTTATGCTAATTATTTACCTATCTTCTATGGCAGCTTGAAAGTTTAAAAACCCACTAAAAGTATCTAATCTCTTTCGTAATTTTTGTTTGGAGCTTTTCTTTCTTTTATTCATCATTTCAGGAGGAGTATACAAAGTTGGCGTAGGTCCTTAATCATAACATTAGTCTTTAAAAGTTTATAGTTGGTTTCACAGCTTCAGCTAGTCTATTCTTTTGCTATTGTTTCACTTTTTATGCATCGGTGCATAGATCTGTGTGTGTCCGAGTGTTGTCATCTCGAGGGAAAAAAAAACAAATGGTCATTCGTAGTCATTATTGTACACCAATTTAGGGTCTAACAAAGAGAAGCATTGGATGCTTTATTGCTTCATGCTATTTTTTTTGTTTATTGTCTGTATAGAACCCCTGTTCAGAAATGCACTAAGTGCTAGTCAGACAGTCATGTTGAGACTAGTGCTTAGAAAGAAAATCGGGAATTAAACAGAGATTATGAAGATAAAAATTTAGATTGTTTAATATGTTAGAAAACATGTTAATCTTTAATTGTGTATAACATTAATATCTTCTCATGTTTAGAAATGTATAAACACACAAATAAAATATATAAACTTAATGTGATATATTTTTCATCAAAATTATGAATATACGTTGCACTTATCAAATTTTAGATCAAATAAATATATAAAATATTATTAAAAAATAAAATAAAAAATGAAAATAATAAAAAAATAGTTTAGGCGACCGCATTGGTAGCTAGGCGAACTAAAATCGAATATCCGATTTCTTACATCGATTTTTCATAAACCAGAGAGGATGAGTGACACCTAGACGCCTGATATTTAGAACAAGGTATTAACCTAAGTGATACTTGTGTGTTTAAATATCATCTATAGTACTCTTTACTTTTAGTGTCACAATCATCCAACACAACTCTCTTCTTTTTGTTATATCTGCTTTGTTCTGTTTGAATGTCTTGTTAGCAACTTTTTAATAAATAGAATGATTGCTCTAACTTTTAGGTAAACAAACTTTGACATTATAATATTATTTCCTTTTTCTTGTGATTATGAAACCCAATCTTCTTACAGATCTCTTCTCTTTTCATTTACTCTATACACATATTTTCCGATTCTAGGAATTAGATATGATTTAAATGGTTGTTGGGTGTCTACCTGAAATCATATATCTAGTCATATAGTCACCAAATCTCAGACTAAGTAGATATGTGAAAAATAGGTATAGTAGAAAATCTTTACAGCACAGAAATATACACAAAAGAGTACTAAATGATAACAGTCACATAAAAACACATTAAAATATACTAAATGCAAGAATCAAGAAAAATAAAATCTTAGAGCTTGAGGGATAAGTCAAGCTTATGTTGCTCTTCCTGATTAGTGCTTAACAATCCTCCGTGTTCTCGCCATTGTTCAAGAGTCATCGGTAACCCTACCAGAATCTTTCCTATGTTGCTCGATGGTATATGGATGTTACTGGACCGTGAATTAATTGAAGGATCAATCATCATCATATGATGCTGCTCCTGATGATAATGATGATGAAAATTCTCCATTGAAGACAGTTTACCTATTGCTGGTTGTTGATCAAATGGTAGTCTTGACCAGTTGATCTGACCATAGTGGCCACCAAACCCATTATATGAACTTAACTTGTGGCTCATCGAATGCGCTTGAATTCCCAAAGACATGTTGTTGTAGTTTCCATGGAAAGGAACTGGAGAGAAGGCGTAAGGGTGTACAAAAGCCGAGGCCAATGCTGTCATCCGTTTCCCTTTCTTTGCCAACGTCCTCTCTCTCTTGTGTGCGTTCTGGTGACCACCAAGTGCTTGTGAGCTATAGAAAGTCCTTTGACAGTAGTTGCATGAGAAGAGCTTTTGTTCTGTGGATGTCGTAGATACGTTATAACTCTGCTTAGCATCGATACTCGAGTCTATGCAGTCGATGAGATTGAGTTCTTGACTTGAATCGTTAACGCCTGCTTCTTCGTCTTTGAAACTCAGTTCTTGGTTCTCGTTTTGAGAATCTTGACATGGAAAATCTGTGGATGAGGAAGCTACGCAAGAGGGATCTGAAGGCAGTTTTTTGTCCATCAAAGTGCCCATGACTTATAATAAGGGAACAGAACTTTTACAAATGATGATTTCTTCTCTCTTTTTTTTTATATATTATGAACTGCTACGGAAGAAGCTTATATTTGAGAATGGAAAGGTGCAGAAGTAGATTTGTAATGATAGTGCACCAAAGGCAAAGTACTATGTCGATGAGAACGATAGTTAGGTTGGATTTGCTGTCACACCCTTCTCACAAAACACTTAAAAGCTAGCTTATTAACCTTTCCATTAGAACTCCAGCATCTCTCTCTCTCTCTCTAAATATATGTGTTTATATATATATATATTTATACGTTAATGAGATGACCTTTTAACTTTTCCATTTTTGGCTGCTTCCTTTTTCAATAATCCAAGCCATATCATGTTGGAACAAACCACTAGCCGCCCTTGGCCATGATCAATTTCTATAGGTTTAATCCGGGCATATGTATATATATACACTGGATCATGTATTCAGTTATTGATGGATGTATTCCTCATATCCTTAATATTGAGTACATGTAGTATTGCTATGCGTTCATATATAGAAATATCGATCTATTTTATATATTGTAAAATTTTAAATGTAAAATTTAAATGAGACCAGATGGATATTAATTATTTTTATGTTAAAAAAAAGAGACGGATACAACCCCGAAAGCGAAGTAGTTATATCAAATAGTTTCGAAAGTAGTACAACCATCTGGTTCAGTGATGTCGGATCTTTGGTGGGTGACGACCTTAGCTGACGTGGCTGGAGCTTCTGCGGTTTCAGTTCCTGCAGGTTGTTCCAGAGCCGGCCCTTGCTAGAAGCCAATGAAGCAAGGGCTTCCGGCCTTAATATTATCAAAGAGAAATATCAGCCACAAAATTTTATGAAGGTAACTTCAGTCCAGTGGTCAAGTGACTCTTTCTTTTGTTATAGGTGAATGGTTCAAACCTAAACAGCCACATTATTATTTTTGAATTGTAGCCTCAACAAACAAGGACCAGCTCTGGGTTGTTCTTCGGCTCTGGTTCAGGTTTGTACCGTGCCATCTTAAAAAATTTAATGACCTTAGGCGAAATATAAAATAAAGCCTTTTATAAGTTTTTTCTCAACTTTTATTTATTGCATTTCCTTGAATAAAAGCAAAAGAATGTGGTATTCAAAGAACAAATTAAAAAAATGGATTCTTAAGTTTTGCTAGTGGAAAAGTGAGAATGGTACAGGGTAATTATTTTGTTTTTATTGTATTTAAATTAGGTTTTACTTAATTATGGACCTTTTTGTTGTAATTTCATCAACTAATTGATATTTAACAAATAGAAAAGGACATTTTTAATTAGTAAAATAACACTAAATTTTTTTTTGGACCTATGGACCCATGTCATTTGTCTATGTTGCCATGGGTTAGAGTTGTCATTGGGTTTGTATCAAACTAGCTAGGGTTTTAGCTTTTTCTTTTGTTTTCTATTTATTTAATTTTCTCACGTAATGTAAAAATAAAAATCATAAAAATTTAGTGTGAAGAACCTTTAGAAAAAAACATTGATCTGATGAAACGACACGAGAGGAAAATGACAATTACTTTGAAAAGGATGTTAAATAATAAATGTATTGGATATGGACCATCTAAATTATTTGAGGTCTGCTTTGACCTAATTTAAATAACTTCATGAGGTAAGTGGCCATGTCTGTCTCCTTTAGCTTCTCTTGTGGGCATCTCCTTCATTTTTTCTTCTTATGTTTGTTTTGTAATCTATATTAGACAAGACCGAAGCTCCAACTGTCTGCCCTAGATATTTTGTTTACGTCCCTTTTTCACATTTTCATATGTATTGGGTTTAGCAAATATCTGTTGGGTAATTCCAAGCTTGTGGAAACTTAACATATTATTGGATGTTTAATATGTTAAGGATAAACACAATAAGGAAATCTAGAAATAGGAAAATGAAGTTTTCTATTAGATTAGGTTTGTGTTTTCCATATCCCACATGTTCAAGGGAATTATCTTGCATATAAATAGAGATCTATGGAGAGGTGTTCCATAAGATCTAAGAGAGTAGATCAGATGATCTAAGAGAAACATATTGTGAGCTTTAGTTTTGAGTAGTTTCTAAAGCTAATAAGAAAAGTTGTTCTTATAATCCTTTGTGTTTCTAGAGATTTGAATTGGTATCAGAGCTTAAGTTGAAATTCTGATCTAGATTTGAATTGCTGTAGTGTCTAAAGCTAATAAGAAAAGTTGTTCTTATAATCCTTTGTGTTTCTAGAGATTTGAATTGGTATCAGAGCTTAAGTTAAAATTCTGATCTAGATTTGAATATCCAGGGAAATCTACACCCATAGAACAATTTGTAGACCATCCAAATCAATCATTTTCTTCCCATACATACAGTGATTGCATGGTGAGAGTAAGAAGACACATCTGATCAGCTGTTAACGGAAACTTAATGGCCTAAGGTTTGGAAGAGAGAAAAGTGAATTGGATTGTTAGATTTAAACTCGACTCGATAGTAGAATTTACATTGGTACAAGGTGATAGAATGATGATAATCCAACTAGATTTTTTTTCTTAATTAATGTAATGAGATAATTTACATTACTAACGACATTAAATTTCAATATCTATTGTATTTATTTCTATTAAACAACGCAATAATCCATATATTTTTGGTAACTAATACGATAAATATTTTATAAATAAGATTAATTCTAATTTTATGGAAATAATACTCTCCTTTTTAATTTGATTATTATTTTTCATGTTTAGTATTATTTAACCCTTGAATATGAATATATACAGGAAAATTAAAGAAAATATTATTTACTATGTCAATAATATTTTAAGAACATATCATATAATTAAATTTTAGATCTAAAATAAACAGAAATACAAACTTTCATAAGTTATTGAAAAGGAAAAAGAAACTAATATTTTCTCATGTTCGAGAACACGTTAGGCGCTAGTTGGGTGGTTAAGTTGAGCCTAGCGCCTAGAAGAAAAGGTAATTTTATTATCATCTTCTTCCTGACCTAAATGTTTCTGTGTGTTTAAGGCGTGCGGTCGCCATTAAATTTTCACCTTCATTTTCATCGATTTAATCACAGAGTCAACTCGATTTGTCATCAAAAGGATAAAAAGCATATGTGAAACACAGGTTTTTGAGTCAAACAATACACGTTTTCTTTCGTTCCCGCGTTTTCTTCCGATTTGGTTAAATCGCGAATGGTTCCCTAGCGTTGAGCGTAGAACCGGCGAGTAAACGGCCCTAGGCGGCGCGTTTTCGAACATGGATATTATCATATCAATAAATTTTAGTTTTTTATTACCATTATTTTATTTTTTCAAATGAAATAATAAAAAATTCATGAGTATAAGAAATTACAAGTTTTAAGTCTTATATAATATTAAAATGTATGAGTTATTTAATCAAAAAATTCAAAATGTTATCATATCTTTTTGGTTTTCAGCAAATCATCCGATATCAAATCATGGGTTAATAACAGTTTTGTTTTTGGACTTTTCAGGGTTTTATCAAATTTTTAATTAACAACTTTTTACTAAATCCGAACTGGATTAAACACAGGTCACCGGACTGATCAATTTAACCACAGAGTGGTTCGAATATGAAACCTTTCTTGAAAATATAATATAATAGAACAAAGTTTTAAACACTAATATTAACAACTTTAAAATTGTTTTTTTTTCTAATGAAATTTGGTAAGTTCAATAAAATTTTATGAAAATGGTAAAAATGTTTTCGCGCTGTAGTGGTAATAATATTTCCGCGCTTTTAAAGTGTGAGTCAAAATCTAGTATTGATATTATTTGATGTGGCTTACAAGAATGACAATCAAAATGGAGTTTATCTTATGTTATACCTTTTTTTTTTGCTGAGGATAAGCAAACATGTAAGTTTGAGACAGTTTATATAAAAAGTAGTTAAGATTTTATAAAATATTAAAACTTAATTCTTTTAAATATTTTATCAATGTGTATGATACATTAAACCTCCTAATAAATACAGTGCGAGCACAATATACATTTGTTTAGATGAGAGATTCAAAGCCATCTAATTGTTCTTACAAACATGAAACAAATAGGTAAGAATACAAAGTATTTGTATTTAGAAAAAAAGGTATATACATTATTTCAATTTTGTTTTGCTTATACTTAAATAAACTAAAAACAGTAAAGTAAGAAAACGATGTTGAAAAAAAGAAAGAAAAAGATGTTGAAAACGTAGGAGTTCAAATATTTATACAAAGCACATGTAATTGTCTTCTATATGGATAACTATATCATATATGACTTCTAGGCTTCTAGCTAACTTGAGAATGTCTGTAACTAGGATTTTATTTTTTTTAAACAGATTTATGTTTCTCATTTTATTATATAGAATATAACGGAAACTAAGGATTTTATTCCTAGAGTGTTTGAAAATGATAGATTTAATACTTATATATAGTATTTTCACATATTTATTTCTCAAACAATTATTGACTGCATATAACATTTATATTATTAAAAATGAAATAAAAATACGAGATGGTTTGGAAACATAAATATCAATAATTAAAATGAATATGTTTGGAAAGATTAATGTCAATATTAAAAAAAGAATTTAACCCTAGTGGGTTTTTAATCAAATCTTATTTTGGTCCAAATCACATTTATAACGATCCAACCCGAATCATAATTATAATATCATTTTTATTAAGATGGTGATTATTATGTTGTTTAAAATTTTTTTAAAGAAAATATCACATATTGTTAAAAAAACATTTTTTCTTTATTTCTATAAAAACATAAACATTTTCGTAATATAGATTTTGTCTATATCTTTTACTTATAGAGAAACATTATTAGAGAGTAATATTTAGTTAGTAAACTAGGATAACACATGCAAATTGCGTATGATAACATACAGTAACAAACTTAATTGATAGTAACTAATTGAAAAATACTTGTGTGACATATTGGGTCCATTCATATGTAAGGAAGAACAATTACTGTGGATAATATTTGATTCATTGCATATACATTTTTTACATAAAAATATGCATACATCCTTATGAAAACTTTAGCTACAATTTGATTAAAGTTTTAAAGTATGATTATCTAACACTATTAAAAACTCTTATTCTAGAGCAATGAGACTGTGCACGTAGGATTGAAAAATCAACCAATCAAATTTTATATTTTCCCCACATCAGCAGCATAACCTAAGTTGCTTCTTTTAATTCGTCGAAACTAATAGTCAGTTCACCTTTCTTTTGGTCTCATTGCCATCCCTTAATTACAAGTCTGTATATCTTCCTCTTCATTTATGTTCACATATTCATTAAACCAAAGATAGAGCTTAGAGTCTTTGACCTTCACTGATCTTTCTCTCGCACTCTTATAATTGGATCAGACAAGATGGTCAGGACGCTTAGGAGATGGGGTAGGAGGTTTACTAAAGAAGACGGTACGCCTTGCCGGAAACACATGGCAGCTTTGTGAGTTCTTGATTTCTGGGTTTGGTCGAGCTACCTCCCCTCCAACCAAACGGTATCGTTTCATTTCTCTTATGCGTTCATCTTAAAACTTAGATATTCTCCAAAAATTTCATTTTTTCACAGGTTAGTATCTTTTTGAGCGTTTAATAAGTGAAATTGAGGTCATCATTCATTATAAATTGCTAAAAGTTTGTTATTATTATCTTTTTTTTTTTTTGCTTCAGGGCATTGTTGAAAGCCATGGTGGTGAATTTCTGCAGCCATCTTTACCTGATATATCTCCAGGTTAGCATTTAATCCCCTTTATCTGAGCATAATTCTGTGAGCTTTGTTGATTTGAATGCGTTTTTTTTTTCTTTGCAGAGCATGAAGTTTCCTTCGTATTGAGTTTCTATCTGAATGGGTACTCTTTAGGAAAACTCTATGAGGTATGTGGTAGAACTTCATGTCCTGAGATATATCAGGTATAGTAGTGTGATTGTCTTCTAGATCGAGTATAACTGAATGTATTTTTGGTTTTCTTATCGCAGCCAGTTTACAGAAGCAAGAAGTTTCTTTTCCAACAAAAGTTGGGTCTCTTTTATTTTTCAAAAGTTTTGGTTTTATTAGATTTTGGATCAGTTCTTATTTGATAGTAATCTCTTTGTAGGTTACAAGAGACAAGAATTTTTGGGGCAAAATTATAGATTTCTGAGTGGAGTTGATACAGCTTCCTCAGTACTATACGAGGTAATGATTAGTAGTCTGCGATGGAGCTTCCATGAAATTTAATTGTGAATGTGTTTTTTTTGGGTTTAGATGAAGGAATGCATCTTAAAGGGTCAACCATGTACACAATACAAGTACTAAATTACAGGTTGAAGATTTTATTCATTCAAAACATTTTACAAAAAAATCTTTGTTTGTTTGATTTTGCTGATCATTTATGTTCTATCAGTAACAGAAAAGATAAGAGCACGTTCTGGACTTTTCTTCGCATATCACTAGTTCGTAATGCTTCAGGCAAGGTATGTGAATTTCAAAGAATCTCTTAAGGATGTGGAGAAGTAAACTAGATTATGAGTTGATTCCTCTGTATTTTTTTTTGTATTGTGTATCAGACGGCATATTTTGTGGGTGTATTGCGGAAACTCTGAAAGTAAATAACTCAGACCAGAGGCAAGGCAACTGAGTGTGGTCAGTGCTGTTAGAGTTGCNTTCAGGCAAGGTATGTGAATTTCAAAGAATCTCTTAAGGATGTGGAGAAGTAAACTAGATTATGAGTTGATTCCTCTGTATTTTTTTTTGTATTGTGTATCAGACGGCATATTTTGTGGGTGTATTGCGGAAACTCTGAAAGTAAATAACTCAGACCAGAGGCAAGGCAACTGAGTGTGGTCAGTGCTGTTAGAGTTGCGGTCAAGAGCTCATTCATGGTAACATGTTGATACACGCCAGATAGAAAAATGTATCGTAGAAAGAGTATGACGAAGTGAATTTCACATACATCTCTTACTAATAGGCTTCCATGGATAACAAAAAGGCGTTTTGCAGCTCCAGTGCTCCGACGAAATCCACCACCACGGTTCTGGCGAAATCGACTATGAATTCCCTGAAGAAGTGAAGAGTTAACAGCCTCTACGAGCTGGTTTCTGTGGGGATTGTTGAGGAGACGGTGGCGCAGATCTCTGGGGAGAAACTACTCTACAAAGATGAAAGGGTTTAGGCAAAATAGTATCAGACTGAAGTGTAGAAGAGAAGTGATTTTTAGACCTTGAAGAATCCGCTGAGATTGTCGTTGACGATCATGATCATAGATGAGGACTTCGGAAGAGCGAAGGAAACCGGAAGTTCACGACGGATTGGGAAAAGAAGGCGGCAAGCTTCGCTGCCCCATGGGACGCAGACTCCGGCCATCTTTCACTGCAAACACCGAATGGATAAGAAAGAAGACTCAGTCAACAAAGAATCCCCGACAAAAAAAAAGAGTAAACATTTTTAAATTTTGGGTCTTTGGGCTATCGAAAACTCTTACAAAGTTGGGATTTTGTCTGATGATTATGCCTGCCAAACTCAATCTAACAGTTTAATATACTACCACACTTTCTTCTTCTTTTTTTATTTGAACGAACTACGATTCATTACAGGAGGAAGAATTTACAACAATGAGAGATAATACCACAGTGTCTTTATTTGCTTGGTTTTATTTGTTTTACATAGAAGCCATCGTTGGTTTCTTGCCCATGGCATCGGAACTAACTCGACGAAACGCTAAACCCAACCAGAGGTTAAACATCAATGCTGGTAAAATAGAATGGTTAAACATCAATGCTGGTAAAAGAATCTCATGAAAACTACTAAATTTTCTAAAAAAAGGAAAAACCTCAAAAAGTAATATTCAGCAGAGAATAACAAATAGGAAAATAATATTTAGTAGAGCTATGTGGTCTCCACAACATAAAAACCTTATTAAAGCCATTTGATTTTTCTCTACTTTTATGGATTTGTAGAAGAATATACAGTAAACAATTAACTTTTTACCTTTTGTCAATGTATTTACAAAAATTTATTAGATCCAACATTTTTGAAGTTAAACTTTTCTTCTACAATTTTATTTTTCATGTACACTTCTAAAAGAATTATCTTTTTTTTTGGTAAAATCTTATAAAAACGGTTAGCCACTAATTATGTAGTACAAACCGGAAAGATATAATAAATTAGGAAATCAAAATTTAAAATGATTTGAGTTTAAACAAGATTTGTTTACTGTAATAAAATTTTGAATAATGTATTATGTGTGTTTTTGTTATTAATAAATTTTACATTCTACTAATTTAAATAAATTACTACATCTTAACCCGAACAAACTTGCAGGTGATTATTTTTTTTATAGACATAATTATTTGTTTTACATGACTAATTGTAATATTTACCAAATTATTAATTGTTTAATATATTTTATTTAAACATAACAATTTTATAGTTCACATGCAATAATTTTATTTATTAGTTTTAAATTTTAGTGATGACATATTTTAAATCATGTGATACAAAATTCTAAAATTAAAAATATTATTGGTTAAAATCACAAATTTAATTGAAAAGTATTATATTAAATTAGAATCGAAAATTTAATACATAAATGTACATGATTTTATTTATAGTTACAAAATTAATTTGATATTTAAAATTTTATTTTAGTTATTGTGAAATATAGAATTAATTTTTAAATAATCACAAAATTAACTAAATATTGTTTAAGAAACTAAGTAAAAAAAGGAAATATAAATTTATTTTAAATAAATACGAAATTAATTAAATATTTTATAGGTTTATTTTAATGAAAAATGAAATATATACATATATATATATAATTTTTAAATAAAAATATATGAAAAAAATTTATTCATACATAATTTCAGAGAAAAGATAGGAATATCTGTTTGATTTTTTGTTCTAGAATCATTCAAATAATTCATATGTTTATACATAATATAATTTAAACAATTTTCTAAAAGTTGGTCCAAACTAAAAACTCACACATGAACAAAGTTATGACTTCTGTTATAATATATAAGATATATTTCCTAATTTCTAATATACACAGAGTGAACTGCTAATTTCGAAATACGAGATATGAAGTCATATTCACTATAATTTATCTTAGATTGCATGAACATTACATATTTCAATAGAAATAACATCTTATATGTTAAAACATAAGTCATAACTTAACTTCATGTGTGATTTTTTTAAAAAAAATGGACTATTGGAAAGTCATGTTACATTAACTCTCTAATAATCTTATCATTATTATATCTTATGAAAAATCATATCTATAATAACAAAGATACGCTTAGCAGTTTGGTTTTAGTAAATTACCCCACACCTTCCAACTTAGTCACACAAAATATGTCAATAGATATAAATTTATGAATCTTCTATTATTTATAAGGAATTATGTCAATAATAGTTAAATGCATCCACAATATATGAACAAAAATCACAGATTCGCAATATGGAATATTTATATACCCTAACCTAACAAAATTTACACGCTATATATACTAGATAAATTTATTTCGATGTAAATTTTTATAATTATATTGTTTTAAAAAGAAATTGTTTAAAAAATTCTTTTTAATAAAATTCTTTATAATATTAATTTATGAAGCTATAAGTTTAGTGTTTACCAAAAATTTCTTCGAAGTTTATATTATCTTTGCAAATTAAAGTATACTAATATTTAAACAAGCTCTATTTATATTACTTAATCTAAAAATGAAATACTAATCTAACAAACAATAAAATATAGAAGAAGAAACAAACACATGTTTCAAAAATATGTATAATATAGAAAATTTGAAACAATCTATTTGATTAAAACACGTATTATATAATATTATTATGTTTGAAAAACATTTACTATACATATCGTAAATATGTGATTATTATAATATATACCAATTTACATGTGAAAACAAAATGTTTATATAATTAACTATAAACGACAATAAACACCCGCGCGGTTTCGCGGATCAAAATCTAGTAATATCTTAAAGTAACTAACAAATTATAAAAATAAATCCGTGCGTAGCCTCAGAAAAATCTCTAATTTTGATAAAGTTTGCCGAACCTACTGATTTTTGGGTGTTACAATTATAGGCCTCATCAGAACAAAACAGAAAAAGTAATGGGCAAATGGGTCTGTTCATTGCATTGTCAACTTAAGTTTGTTCGGTTCATGTTTTTTTGCAATCCGACGAACATTTCCAATCACAAATGAAAGGGGATTAGGGTTTTGATTTCATACCGATCAAGGCTCATAAATCTCGTTATCCAAATCTTTTTCACTTCCATCTCATCGTTAAACATTCTCAACCAGCTTGATTAATAAAAACCCAGTCTTAAAATAAATTGGAGACAACGGATCTCAGGTTTGGAAACAGAAGTATTTAGAAGCAGATAGTTATTTTACTGTAGCAGATAGTTTAGAGGTATTTAGAAGCTTAACCATATAAAATAAGATGAATAAAATCCCTTAATTAAAAAACAAGAACTTAGAATGAACTCTAAAAAAAACTGTTTAGCAAACAATAAATGGTTGCTGCATATTTCTGGAAAAACGAAAGCTTAGGTATGAATACAAATCTTGATGTATCTCATCAAAAGGCACTGGCTGGAATCCTGTAAAAAGATGTTTTCAGTAATATGTTACTTCTTTTAAATCAACAAAAGAAACAAAAGTTGAGGAAAAAATATTGTTTGATTCTCACTTTGTTTGAACGCTTCTCTCTGGAATGTTAAGGTCAAATAACATTCTTCATAGCTGTTAATAAATTTGAAGCCTTCTACAGAAATAATTAATGAGAAAAGATTCGAGTTAGTTGTGGTTCTCTTTGGCCGAGAAGTTTGTGTATATATAGTAATAATCTAACGCTAATGAGAAAGGTTTCTGTTATGGCTATAAACACTAATATATTAATATATATAATGGCTGATGAGAAGTTTGTGTATCTTATTATATAAAATAGAGTTTTTTCTTATGTAAGATTGTCATGTTATTAATTAGTTTTTTAATATGATAACATGTGTCAATTTGAAATTTCATTTTATTCTTTCAATAATGTTATTGTTGAGTTTTTTCATATCAATAATTTTTTTGTGCTTATTTTTGGACCAAAGAGCATTGTGTTAAGTATTTGATTAACGGATCCATAATGACTATTTTGTTTTCAACAGTTTCTCGACGCTGTCGGAATTTGCCACTGTTGTTAACTAAACGACCATGGAGGATTCAGCTGGGTTGCAGGGGATGGAAATCCGGTCAAACTCTAGTGGAAACGGATGTTGGTCTCAGTTCGAATACTTTCTTACTTACTTTAGAAAACCTGGAACGTTACATATCTCATATGCATTCAATCCTGCTCCTTAACCTTCCAATTAACTCCATCTCCTCATTACTTCAACGTTTTCACATTCATTGCATCATATTTTTCTTCCAGTCGGTAAATCTGCATTTATATTTAAATATCTTAGATTGTATCATTAAATTCACAATTTCATTCTTCATAATGTAAATAACGCAAAACCCATTTACAAGATTGATTCTGATGTTGAGTGATTAGGAACTGAGATCAATTAAGGAAACATCGCCGTCTCTGTAAGTCATGCCATGGAAGGTGCACGTGTTATTCTTAGGAGACTAGTCGGGAGGGGGGCGGGTAAATTCTTTTCAGAAAAAAAGTTTTTAAGGCTTATGAGATAATACAGTTCTCCGTATAAAGATTGAGATGGTAAAGCTTAAAGTGAAAAAGAAAAAAAAAAGGTAATAGTTGTAACAAAGGAAGAAAGACATAATCCTCACTGATTTTTAGTGAGAGGTGTGAAAGTAGAAAGGTGAATGGATGAATTTAAGATGTTAGTTATACCATTAAAGAAGAATTGGAAGTCCTAAGAGAGATACATAAAATCGAGAGCTAGCGACGAACGCATGAAAACGAAGAAGTATTTATCAAATGGTTAAAGAAAGATAAGCCAAAGCTGTGCACAACTTGTCATGTATTATTCTTTTGGTTTTGTTGTATTAGCGATACAATTTAACTCCGGTTACAAATAAAAAAAAATGTTCTTCACCAATGTTTAAGAAAACAGAAACAAATAAAAAATGCTAAGAATTGTATCTGTTACATATAAAAACTAATTAATGATAGGATATTAAAAATGTTGTTAATAAAAGGATATAGAAAATTTAATAAAATAATGACATCACAAAATTTTGAATCTATAAATTTTTCTAATTGAATGTTAGAATAACCGAGGTATTTGTCAAAACATGAAAAATTGTTTAATAAGTGAGATTAGGGAATATGATCAATTCTTTCACGAGCCCTTATTACCTTTATTAATTCCATCAC